ACGAACAGCCTTAGCACCTAGGTGGTTAAGTACCACCTCCCTGGTTATTTCATCCCCATGCAGAATGTGAAAACCTTCGGAGTAGAATTTAGCAGGTCCTCCAAGCCTTAAAAAGCAAATCTAAGAGAGAAGCTCCACATGCATAACTACCCCAAAATATCTGAGGCAGTGTGTCTGGTCAGAGTGATGCCGGGGGTGGGATCAGCTCAGTCCAAACTTTCTCTAGCTCTCTCCTTCATCCTTGAAAGGCCACCATCCCTATGCATTCATCTCAGAATTCTTATTTTTCTCCCCCAGCCTAATAAGGTAGACAATCACAGCTTGGAAAGACAGCAGAGATCTTTGGGGACCTCATCAGAGCCCATGAGCCTACTCCTTTCTTCTACATCATTCTGTAGCACTTTATGCATGGCCACCCCACCTCAGTGCAGTCCAAAGATCTCACCTTCCCAACGCCATGAAACATCTCCACTAGGACATATCAGACCTCCCTACCTCTCAGCTCATAAAAAAGGAAAAGAGGGAGCAGCAATTATTTCTCCACCTAGGGTCTAAAGGACCAAAAATGTAAGTACAAGGATTTCTAAAACTCTAATTCAGTGGCTGCTCCCTGCCCTTGACCTTCACTCTCATATTTATCCTAGAATAAACCTTTCCAGTGGCCCTAGTTGAAATCTCCTTCCCAGGTCCTGTGTGCTACAATTTAAATCCACCCAGTTCTCCATGGAAATGGAGAGCAACTAGCCACCAGCAACCCTCCAGATTCAGAGACCATGGCTGGAGAGCATCATTAGTTTCCAATGGGGAGCCAGTAATTTGGAGAAAACATGATTCATGATTCGCTACTTGGTGTCTAAAAACGAACTCATCCAAAAATCTCCTCCAAAAAAATCATTCTTTCTTAAGAAACCAGCTTCCTATAGGATAAAAAAAATAGCCATTAAATTGCCTTTTCATGCCTAAAAGGAAGCTTCTCGATCAGTAGGCTTTCTCTTCTGCAGTTTCAAGGCCACACTTATTCCACGAGTGCTACTCCTTGAGAAAGAATGGGCATTGACGTAGAGACTCCTACTTGGTTCAAGCTTCACCAAAAAGACAAGCCATCCAGCACAAAGAGAATTGACGTGGTAATCCTCCGTATTTCAGCCCTTCCAAATTCATCTTTTGGAAATGTGGCTGCTTTCTCCTCACATGAAAAGATGTTCACTTACACGTTGAAGTTTCCCATTGAATGTTATCCAAGTGAACCCAGTGAACCAAACCCTAACAGAAACACTTCACAGCTGCCCTAAATGAGAAGCTACATGCCAACCCAGGCTATAGCTCACCCCTTCAGACATGCAGAGCCAAGAAGCTCATGCAGAGCCAAGAAGCTCATGCAGAGCCAAGAAGCTCTCGTTGAACTCAGAGACCAATGTCCTCGTTCTTCAAGAGTCAACTAAGGCTCGGGAAAACCAAGGAGCTTGCCCAAGGTCACTCAGCTCAATACTGGCAGCCCCTGGCTTCACATCTGGGTAGGATCCTATCTCTGCTGCTAACTAGCAATTTTCACTTCTGGGTAAGTCACTCACACCCCCACTTGCTTCCTGTCCGTAAACAGAGGCAGCTAGACCAGATATCATGCTGTGTAAACATGTCACTGAGGCATGCTGGTTTAAGGGTAGAAGCTCTCCAGTCAGACTGAGGGTTCAAATGCTGACTCTGCTCACAGAATGATACTGAACAATTTATTTACATTCACTGTGCCTGCAAAGTGGAAGAGAATCATATATATGTGCCTATCATATACTTCATAGAAGTATTGTGAAAATTTAAATTAGATGATCTGCTTGGCAGAATACCCTGAACAGAATAAGGGCTCAATAAATATCGGGCATTATAATCATCCCAAATCCTTTCCAGCTTTGACACTGTATTATTCTAGGATTCTAACAGGCAATAATGGCTTTTTTTCCCCTTAATGGTAGCAGTTCTCCCTACTAGTTTTATCTCCTGATTCAGACATACATCAAGGCCAGAACAAAAAGAAAGAAAGGCAACAATTACTGAGACTTTGACAGTGATTTAAAGAATTTGGAGTTATAGAGACAAAGCGACTCCAAAAGGAATCATTTAAGAGGAATGGTTTCATACTTTCAAGAACTTGCTAATGAGAAAAAATAACCTGTGACTATATTCCTGAATATATTTAAAATATACGTGTACTTTGTCCCAGGAATCTCTCTTACTGAAACACTTGTTTCGAGGCACAATTGTATGCTGTGTAAACATGTCACTGCAGCACTGTATATTGCAATGCATACTCAGTACACATACACATTTGCACAGATGACTGGAAAAACAGGTTAGAAGCACTGCACAGATGGCCGTGCAAGGTACAGGAGCTCTGGGCAACCTGCTCAGAGCTAGTTTTCTTCTTCGAGATATGTACTCCAAGCATCCCAGGGTTGAGTTGGGGAAGTGTTATGGCTTGGATATGAAATGTCCCCTGAAATTCACATTGCCATATGAAGGATTTTTTGGAGAAGTGACTGGACCTTGAGGGTACTGACTTCATCAAGTGGGTTGATCCACTGTTGAGACTGCAATGTGATAGCATAATCGGGAGATGATGGAAATAGGAGTGGGGCCTCCTTGAAGAGAGTGGATGATGGGAATGGGACTGAGAAGCTGGGATCTGGACGCTGATTAGCTGTGGCTCCCAGCACACCTGGGCAGGGCTCACAAGCCTCTGTGTTCTCCAAGGACAGGCCCTCCTCTGCTAGAAAGTGAACAGGCCTTTCTTATTTTTTTAATTCATTCACATACTTGTGAATAATTTTTTTTTCTTTTTTTTTTTTTGGTACTGGGGAATTGAACTCGGGTCCTTGCGCTTGCAAGGCAGGCCACCGAACCGCTGAGCTAAATCCCCGGCCCTGTGAATAATTATTAAGTAGTCATTATGAGAAGAAGTTTTGTTTCTATTTTTCTTTGGCTTATCTTCTCTTTCTTAACCTAAGCAAAGAGAAAATGTGTTCGTGAAATGAGAAGTTGGGAGAAAAGAAGAAAAAGAGATGTTCTAATATTGTCATTCTGTCCTTTGAATTTTTATCAAATAACCAGCTCCAAATCTCAAAGTGGTCCATCAAGGAAAATTACTTTTAAGGATCTCACCACTGACAGTTTGATCTGATCCATCTTTAAAGATCAGGACAGTAGCTAAACTGCTAAACGATCTACGTCCAGCACCACTGTGCCAAGTGTCCCTCTGTTCCGGCTTGGAGGCGCTGCTAGCTAGAGAGAGGGTAACAAGACAAGAGCCTGCCTCTTTTGGGCAAGGAGGAACCTGTGCAAGGAAAGAGAGGAAAAGAGGGCAGCTTCCAGGGCATCCTCAGACACAGCGGTTTTAGGAAGATGAACGCAGGTGTTATAGTTTTGATCTAAAATGGCTCCCAAGAGTGTGTGTTTGGAAGGTGACTGGGTTAGGCCATGACAGCTGACTTGCTGTTAGGAGGTGACAGTGGCTGGCAGAGGCGGGTCACTGCGAGTGTGGCCCGGAAGGGTATATCCACCTTCCTGGATCCTCCATTGATCCGCTGCTTCCTGTTCACCATGAGGGGAGAAGCTTTCCTCACCCAGGACCTTCCACCATGCTGTGGAAGTCCTTCCACCAAGGACTGAAACTTTCAAAATGTGAACCAAGATAACCTCTCTTCTTTTCAGTCAGTGTCAGGTACAACCACGCAAGGACTGAAACTTTCAAAATGTGAACCAAGATAACCTCTCTTCTTTTCAGTCAGTGTCAGGTACTATGTTCCAGCCATGAGGAAGTAAAACCGAGAAGCTGGGACCTGGACGCTGATTAGCTGTGGCTCCCAGCACACCTGGGCAGAGCTCACAAAGCCTCTGTGTTCTCCAAGGACAGGCCGTCCTCTGCGGACTTGGACGACCTCAGGGAGGTCCACCCCAGACAAGCTCTTCCAGTCACAAGACTATAAAACAGCACAGAGGAACCAAATCTTGATCAACTACAAGGGAAAACCATGTATTATGTGCCCTCCAATGTCACCAGTGCCACTGGAATACACAGCATCGCTATGACAGATGCATAGTGAATCAAGCCGAGGACAGACTCCCAGCTTACAGGACACAGTGGGAACTGAGTAGAAAGCTATACAACACAAGGAAGCTACAGGCCAAACTCAGAATGTGGAACATTCTAGAAACAAATGACCCACTCAGGTTTACCAACAAATGACTGTTGTGAAAAAAAAATGAGACTGCTGAAGAGTAAAAGACTTAAAAGGCAATGAATTCAGCAGGAACATTTTGTTTGGATCCCAAGTCTACCAAAACAATCTTAGAAGTCACTTTTGAAGAAAACAGAGAAAATCTGAACATGGATTGGGTGTCAGTTTACAATAAGAAATTACTGGATTTTAGTAGGTGTGATAATGATGCTGGTGATTGTGCTGTTTTTTAAAAATCATTCGGTTAAAGATGTATACTGAACTTAGAGGCAAAATTACATGATATCTGGAATTTGTTGGTACAAAATATTCCAACTTCCAAGAAAGGCTGGAAGAAAACAGATGAAGTGACTGGATCACAGCTGAAGTTGGGTGGTGGGTACCTGGGATGTATACAGGTTTTTAGGGTTTTGTTTTTTTTAACCTATTTGAAAATGTTTTTAATAAAAAATCCTTTAATAAGGAAGAAGAGGAGAGGGAGAGAATATTTACTACTAACTGTGTATCCGCCAGGCCCCTGTTAGGCCCATCATAAATATTATCTTATTTTCTAAGTCCCAAGACTGCTACTACACAGGCTTCCTCCTTCACCATTTAAGGAGAATCACAGCATCCACTAAACTGGGAAATGAATATGGGAAACCATTAGCACTTAAGAGAATCCAGTGGTGCATCTAGGCCACATGGGAATAGGCTGGAGATGATGCTTAGCGGAGAAATGTCAAAATAAACGAACCTCCCTTGACATTTCTCCTCCTGCGCACAACTTACCCCTGCAGCAAAGCCAAGGCTTCCGTCCAGGATTCGCCTCTGAAAATGAAAAGAAAGGTGCTTCAGTTTCTGATAAACCCCAGGCCAAGAGAGCAACTGGCCCATTAACGCCCAAGAGAGCCACAGGTCCACTCCTGAGCTAGTGAATTCAAGGGTTTACAAAATGGGCCAAGAACCAAGGAAGAAGACGTTTGGAAACATCCCCTCCCTCCTAGAGTGGATCAGAAGTGTCCATTCCTGGAGTGGCGGGGATACCCACAGGACCTTTCTTACTCAGCTCTCTCCCTGCAAATCACCACCACAAAACTTTCATAAAAGTAGCTGCCTTAAAGATGGGAATTACCAGGCTGGGGATTTAGCTCAGAGGTTCCACCGCCTGCCTCACAAGTGCAACATCCTGAGTTTGATCCCCAGGACAAAAAAACAAAAAACAAACAACAACAAAAAAAAACAAAATTACCAAGGGCTGGGGAGAAGCAGGCACAAAAACCAATTCCTCTCACAGGGCAGGGTGCAAACCGGCATGACCATGTTAGAATAGTAAGTGGCACGAAAAACAAGTGACTGCAACTCATGCCACACCTGAGTAATGACTAACAGAAATGTGTGTTCAGATCCTTCCAACACATTTGCAAAATGTTCCCAGCAGCACAATGTGTGAGACACCAAAACCAGAAACTGCTCAAATTCCCACAGACGTGGAATGGATACAGCAATTCAGAAGATCACAGGACAATGAGAAAACACATGCACACACTACATGTGTGTGTGTAGGTATGTATACATACACGTAAAATAAACAGGGAGGGGCATTCAATAAACTGGAAACAAATAGGACAAAATCACTCAGACACAGACCAGTGCATACTGTACGATTGCTTCATTTAAATAAAGCAAAGTGGGAAAAACCACCCATGCTGTAAGACAAGAGCAGGGGGATTACCTTTGGAGCGGAGGTGTCAGGCAGGGGAGGGAGGGTGTGGGTTGTGTCTGGAAGGAGACATGAAGAGGCTGAGCGGGGCTGGTACTTGATCTGGGCACAGTTTCATAGGCATTTGTGAAAAGTGATCACCTGGGCATTTATAAAATGTGCACTTTTCTACAGGAATCTTATATTCCAATAACAAGATGCTTTAGTGCCCGTCATAGATGAAGGGATACACAAAACGTGTAGTGTACATACAAGGGACTGTTCTTCAGCCTTGAAAAAGAAGGAGAATCTGGCACATGGGACAACACAGCTGAGCCTTGAGGGCACTGTGGTAAGAGAAAGAAACCACCCATTCTCACAACTCTTTCCTAACAAGAACTCTGCATCCTCCCCTCCCCCAGGCCCTGGCAACCACCACTTCCTATCTCTATGCAGTTGCCGTCTCTAAGTGTCTTGTACTCCATGATTTCGGGTTGGGTGATCTGAGTTCCAAGTCTCTGACGGATTGGCTCCAAGCCTCCCCCAGGAGGTAGGGGCAGTGTGGGAGGCAAGATCTTATAGCTGAAATCAATACCTGCTGGACTGGTCTCTAACACAAGGGTGCCTGATCTGCCAATTTCCTAAGTGTGCCTTTGTTTCTAAATCAGTCTCACAGCACGTTTAAATAGATCTTCAGACACCTGCTCATGTGACACCACCCAGGGCTCATCTAGGGATAGGGGAGCCCAGGGTTGAAGGAGGAGTGAAATTTTCAGCACGGGAGGTGAACATGGTTTGTGCAGGTGTGTACAGTGAGGCGAGGATGTGTGGGGTTTACAGAAGAAGCATGAGGACTTGGGGGTGCGGGGCATGGAAAAGAGGGAGATGAAGGATGTAAAAAGGGTTTGGGGTGAGGTTGTGGGGCCTGAGAGTGAGCAAGGGTGCAGAGAGGGTCTGAGCAGGACACATGAGGATGCTGAGGCACGGGGGTGGGAGGTGTGGGGTCTGAAGGAGCGGGAGAAGGTGGCCTTCAATATTCATCCTGAGGGTGAAAGTGCATGGGCATAGAAGTGGGAGACGTGGGTTCTGCAGGGACATGGGAAGGTGGCCTGTTATCCAAGGAGGAGGAACGCAAAGTCCTAAGGCTGGGATAAGAGAGAAAGGCAGCAGATCCCCCGTTGCCCACAAGGTTCTTCAAGGCCTCAGGGGAGGACAGATGTGTCTGAAATTTAACATTCTTTGGTCCTGCAAGTTACCCCCTACTCTAGCCCCAAAAGAAATCATATGGCTAGAAGTCAAGCTTCGGGTTAAAAGAGGTTGAAGAGCTGGGTTCCTCACTCCCAATCCCTATCCGTCCAGGGTGTCAAAGGCAGGAAAGGAGGAGAGGATACTGCATAATGTCTGAGCCCGATCTCCTGGCTGGGAAGGGAGTTATGGAAAAAAACAAGACGACAGACGAAAAGGTCACTACGCAGCCCCTGCATGTACAGGCAGGGGCATCAACGAGCCAGCCCACCAACAGAATCAAAGCAAGGCAACTCACCTGTCCACTAGAGAATATGAACACAAGAGCTGCGCCGGCTGCCGTCATTCCCCAGGTGAAGAAGGTCCCCAGCAAGGCCTGGAACACAGTGCTGTGACCTTGGAGCATCCTGGATACAGCTGTGTGCAGAGGAGCAAAGGGTCAGCCACCAGAGGTCCCTCTGGGTGACATCTGCTTGTTTTCCTGGGTCCTAATTCCTCTGTTCAGATCGTCTCCATCTAGAGTAGTGACATGCACCCTTCTGCCACACCAACCCAAGGGTCCTCCACAACCCAGCACACAGGTCAAAGTTCTCCATGCCGGACCCCCAGGTACCAAGAGGGTCGAACTCTGAAAAGCAACATGGGGATAGGTAGGGAGCCTCACAAGAGGCTGCAACACTGAGAAGCAGTTCCAGAGAAGCAGCACTAAGATTGTGGATAGTGTGACCAAGAGGAAGGGTTGAGGTCTGATGCAGTCAGGGGCTTTCTCGGGCTCATTCCGCAGATTCCACTTGCCCTCTGCTCATCATCTGTCTTTCCTTCAGACAAAGGTAACTATCTCAGGTTCCCTTTCAAAACTCCTCCATCCAATTCCCAATCAGAGCTTTTCAGGACAAGCCCTCAACTGCCAACAGGGAAATTCCACCCACTGATCTTCCATTCTCCCATGGACTCTTCAAGCCCACATCTCCTTTACACCCTGCACTGGCACCATGATCCAGCTCAACCCAATTCTTTAGGGCACCTTGAAGGGTCCCCAGTCCATCCTGCCTCCAAGCCTCGGTTCACATGTTGTCTCCTGGAACGCCTTCCCTCCACATGGCAGCCCTTAGGTCCCAGAGCATGCCCTGCAGCCCATTTGCTGTCAACTTCATGATAAAGGCATTCCTGATCTCCCACCGGAGCACTGCCTCTGGGTGGGCCTCCTGTCTTTTGTGTCCCTAGCTGTTGAGAACAAGGGTGATTTTTTTTTCCACAGAGGGAACCCCTCTGAAACAGGGCTTTGAAGCTCCTGAAAAACATTTGCTGAATTGGAAAAGGCCAGCTTACCTTACAGAACAGTTGGCAAAGTCAAGGAAACAGACCCACAAATGACATTTCCCCTGGCCAAGCCAGCACGCTGCTGCTGAAGCTGGAGTCGTACTACTGTCCACCAAGAGGAGAAAGGTAAGTACCCTTCCCTCTTATGGGGCCCAAAATCTCCAGCCTTGAATATGCTTCAACCCCAGCTCTGAGATGACAAGGAGCCAGACCTCTCCCTGTGGAAAGTTCTAGGCCAGAAGCACTTGTGTGTTGAACAGCTTTGTGTTCTGATCCCTAGGGCTCAGGGGCTTGTTTCAAAAGCTTCATTCAGCTCCCACTGGTCTCCCAGCACCCACAGGGCTGGACAAGACCCCACAGGATTCAATCTTGCCAGGACCTGGCACTAAAGAGCCAACCACCCAGGGCCTACAGACCAAGAGCTCTCTCACTGTCCCTACTGATCCTGGAAACTGTGGCAGAGGGTAGCAGGGGCCTTACGCCAAAGGGTTCAGCCATACAGCCAGGCTCCAACCTAGGAAAGGCTATGGGCCCAGACAAACCAAGGAAGCCCAGGTGAGCCCTGGCTCTGCTCTGTGCTAAGAAACCTGAGATAACAACAATCTGTTCAGACTGTGGTCCCCATCGTTAAACAGAACTCAGCATGGTGACTGCACTAATTACTGAAAAAAATTATTTTTAAGCTAAGCTATTATTTTTGCATCTGCCATCTTGTTAAGACACAGTAAAAGAGGGCTGGGGATTTAGCTCAGTGGTTCGGTGGCCTGCCTTGCAAGCGCAAGGACCCAAGTTCAATCCCCGGTACCCAAAAAAAAACAAAGACTTTAAAAAAGTAGTTTGTGTTTGTTTTTAAACCTGGATCATTACACCAATTGTCTACTTCTAGCTGCTTGTGGATGAGATTTCAAACATTTACAAAGGCACAGAGCTAGCCTCTTATCATTCAAGACACATCGTAACACAAAAAACCTTTAGCTCCCCTGGTAGTGAAGTGTTCCTTTTAACAGCTACAGCAGAAATAAACAAGCTTTGTTCGCCAAGAGATCAAAGTGAATTTTGCAAGCTATCGAACAGAAGGGAGCTCATAGGTGATCCAGGTGGTTAACAGAATAGGAAAACTCTCTCCCTAACTATCCCCACTTACACTTGAGCATTCTAACAAGTGGGGAAAGGGACAAGACCACATCCCCGCCATCCCAACATTTGTCAAGACCACTAAACCCTTGGAGAAATGTCTCCTGTTTGCTGTTTGGAAGCCTCCTCCTACTCAAAGAGTGGCCCAAGGACAGAAACCGGTCCCTTTGGGGAGCTTCCTAGAAACACAGGCTTCAGGTCCCACCCCAGACTGAGAATGAATCTGCATTTCATCCAACTCCATGGAGGATTCTGATGCCCAAGGAAGTGTAGAAAGCTCTTTCCTTGAAACTGAAATGAAGACCAAGCGCCTAGAGGGTAAATCACCCTGCACTGCTGGGGATTGGTAAGGCCAGTAAAGAAGGCAAGAACAAGTATCTCTGACAGGTGGACCAGTAGCCCCTTAGGAGTGTGGGCAACAGCACTACACTTCCAAAGCAGCTCACACGTGGGGCTCAGGCTTCCTCATTAGCTGGATATTACCATCAGCCCTGAGGAGCTAGCAGGAAAGAGGCTCCTTCTCTGCCCACTCCAGCTCAAAGAGGCCAACACCACCCCATTCGGGTGCACATTCTGCTACAGAGGCACATGAGGCATCCCGGCAGGTTTCCTCTTTATATTTTCCCTCCCCTTTTTAGACCTGTCGCACTGCTTTTAAGAGTCAGCTTCAAGATATCAGTGAAGTTGCAGAAGTAGAAAAAAACGCTGGTGCCGCCTGGGCTTTGGTGAAACTACAAGGCACAGGCCCTGACACCACCTGGGGAGGCCAAGGAGGGCTCAGGTTTGGGCGGGTGCGACTGGGGGAAAGTTCTCTTGATTGCTTGCTACTCAAAGGGGGGTCGGAGAACCAGCGGAGGTTAGACAGGCACAGTCGCAGGCCTCACCCAGACCTGCCGAAGGTTAAACTGTCAAATTTAAACGCCAGGAGGAGGGGCCTCTGGGCTGCTGGAATTGTAGCTACCTCTGCTCCCGGAGATCCAGATCCGGAATCCCACACACCCACCAGGAAGCAATGAATGAACAGGATCTCGGCTGAGCACTGCGAAAGGCCGCACGTCGTTGCCGGCGGTCGCCCTGGAGAGGAGAGCACGTAAGGGGCAACCCCCTTCCGCTGCCACCTGCCAAAGCCTCCAACTTCTCCTCCAACCCCCTCTCCTCAGAGGCACCCCTTTCCAAGCTCCAGGGCGCTGCCCTTAAGTCCCACACTCTCGTCCTGACAGCCACAGACCCCGGGCCTCGGGCCCAACCCCAGGCGCTGAAGGAGAGAAAAGCCGACTCACTAGGGTGCCCTCTCCAGCCCCCACTCCACTTCCATCAGCCCCCGCCGCCGCTCGCTCCACCGGCTCCACTCCCGAAGTCACTTCCTGCTTCCCCCACACACGTGTCCCTCCGGCTACCAGGCCCCGCCCAGCCGCCGCTGGAAAAGCCCGCCTGAAGAATTAATTCTCTGGTTCACAGCCGCCTGCAGGCTCCGGAACAGACTGGGGCGGGCAGAACAGAGCTGGGAGGCGAAACGCAGAGTCGTAGGGGCGGCCGCAGACACCCAGTAAGAGCCCTTTGTGAGGTGCTGATGCTGCTACGGGCCGGGTGTGCTGTGAGTGAAGCAGCCCATCAGGGGAGTGGTGCATCGTTCTCTAGGTCAGTGCCCCTCAAACTTCAGTGCCCATCACAATCACCCAGAGGGTGTCAAGCGCAGGTTTGTCAAATGCTGACAGTGTCATTCTGGGTGCGCCTGGGATTTTCTATTTTGAACTGAGCCTTGCTGATGCTGGTGGTGTCCAGGCCCACTCTCTGACAGCCACAGCCCTAGGACAAGGACTCTGCTCCCCAGAGCTTCCACGAGAAGACCAGTGTGAAAGTACAAACAGGATCCCGGGCTAAATTTGAGTTTCAGGTAAACAATAATAATTTACATTAGTTTGAGGGTGTCCCGTGCAATCTTTGGGACATTATCTATGCTAAAGGTGCTTTTTGTTTTTGGTGTGTGTGTGTGTGTGTGTGTGTGTGTGTGTGTGTTGTTTGGGGTTTTTTTTTTCTCATTAAGTTTATTGATACATTTTAGGTATACAGTACAGTTACATTCATCATGGGGATCTTGTACCTTTACATGAAAAATCTTGGTTCTCATGTTTTCCCCTTACCCCTGCCCTACCTTCATCCCCTCCACCCTTCCCTATTTACAAAAAGTTTGTTTCCATTTTTTCACTTTCTCATGTTTTTTCTCTTCCCTTATTTCCTTTCCCCTACCCTTCCCACTTCCCCTACACCTTTAGCCCTTTTCTTCCTACTTCACATTGTCATTTATACAATTTGGAGCTTATTTGCACTTTTAGTTTTTCACACCAGAGAAACTAATTGGTATTTACACATGTGTGTCCTGTTTATTTCACTTAAGAGTACGGCCTTGGGGCCGGGGATTTAGCTCAGTGTTTCTGCCGCCTGCCTCACAAGCACAGGGACCTTCAATCCCTGGTACCAAGAAAAAAAAAAAAAGAGTATGGCCTCAATATGCATCCATTTTCCTATGAATGACTCTAGTCTGTCATTCTTTATGGCTGAGTAGTACTCCATTTTATAGAAAAAACACATCTTCTTTATCCAGTCTCCAACTGATGGGCAATTGGGCTGTTTCCAAGTTTTAGCTATTACAAACTGTGCCGCTATAGACATGGGTGCATGTATATCACTGTGGTATGATTCTTTTAATTCTTTTGGGAAGATACCGAGCAGAGGGATGGCTGGGTCAAATGGAACCTCTAATCCTAGTTCTTTGAGGTACCTCCATATTGATTTCCACAGTGGTTGCACCAGTCTGCACTCCCACCAACAATAGAGACTAACGGTGTTTTTTGTTGTCGTTGTTTACCTGAAACTCAGATATAGCTCAGTGTCCTGTACTTTACTTAGGAACCTTGCCAGAGCACAACTGGGGGCAGTAAAAGAGGTTGTGATTAGAGTAGCCATAGTGTGAAAGGCGCAAGAAGGACAGGTCTCTTGGGCGAGTTGCTTCACTGTATTGGTGGCACCGTATACCATGCATCGTGTAGGGGAAGGAAAAGGACATGAGTAGCTGTTGCCCTCTAGGGACCCCAGATTCCACTGAGAGCAGGGACAGGCACCCAGGAAACCACAGGAACGGCAGGGCCCACCGATGGGACCTTACAAATACTGCTTCTCCTGCAGTGTTTCGTGTCTTGGACACACCACAAAAATACTGTGGCAGTGACAAGTGGGCAGCCCAGAGATCTAGAGATTAAGCAAAATGAGTTAGATTAATCGTTGTGGAAGCTACAGAATAGACACAGAAGGGCTCATTAAATCTTTCTTAGTACACGTTTACATTTTTCTGCTCTAAATGTTTAAATTTTTCATAATGAAAAGAGGACCAAAAAATGTGTAAACAGTTAACAAATTGTACCTCCCCCCCCCACCTTTTCTGGTGGCTGCTACGGGAATTCAGCCTCCTGACCTCTCACCTAGGTCCTGGGGATCACCTCCGGCCACTCCACCTTGTTCTGTGCACCAGGTGAAACTGCCTAGGGGGCAGTCTGCCGTGCCCTCGCTTAAAGATCTTCAGTGGCTGCCTAGTGACTTGGGCATAAAGTTCAAACTCCTCAGCCTGTAACTCAAGATTTTCTGTGTTATGACAGCAACTAAACTTTCTTGGGTTTGCTTTTTCTCCTTGTGCCCTCCAAGGGCTGCACAAATGCTACATAGTCTCCCCTCTCTGGCACCGGTACATCCCCAGATATGATTCCTAGTGCATTTCCCTTCACCTCCTGCTTCCCCAAATACAGCCCCCCAGGCCCAGCTGTGATGCAATCTCTCCAGCACCCTGCTCAGACCTCGCCTCCCAGCTGTCCCAGTGCTGCTTAGAAAAAGCATCTCCATTCTCAGAGGTACCCCAGAACTTCACCTGGATTCTAAGGACTCCCTCCAGACCTGACCGGCACAGCAGCTCGTAACCTGTCACATCCTCCAAACACACTCGGAGGTGATGTGGGGTCAGCTGGGTGCGGGGAGGGTGAGGAGGGTTACCTGACACTGGCTGAGTGCTCCGCTGGGGCCCCAAACTCTGCTGTTCTATCATCTCCTTATCTAGAAATCCACAACAGTTTCGGAGGGGATGGATTGATAAGGAAATTTACAGATGAGGACACTGAGGCCCAGGAGGGCTCTGACATGACCCCAGGTGGACGGGGCAGTGTGGGAAGCCAAGCCCACCTCTCCTCCAGGGACAGTGTCCTTCCTGTTCAGGGCTCCTGGGATGAGACCCAGAACCACCCTACTCAGTACGGCATCTCCCTTCCCTTAAGCCACACCAGTCTCTTTATTCCAGACAGCTGACCCCCGATCTCCCGTCTTTCTGAATACACCCCATACTCGCACTCCCTGTCCAAACATTTGGGCTGCTAGGGTCTTCTGCACAATTCCCCATGTGCCAGAGCCCTGGCAGGAAAAAAATGTTTCCCTAAAGTTACACTCCCCAGCCCATCCCTGTGTCCTCCCATGGGGACAAATTTGCCCTAAAACCCCCATAAATTGGGGGTCACTGGGTGCGTGAACAGTGTGTGCATGAACAGAGCAGTGATGGGCAAAAGGAGGAGCAAGTGCTTTGCAGCATGACGGGCTGCTTCCCAAGTGGCAAGGGCCATGAGAGTGAGGCTGACCTGCAGGGCAGCAGAATGGCCAATGGTCCTTTGTAAAAGAATCACTATTACTCGATTGGCCCAAGGTTCCGCACACCTCTTCCTGAAGGACTCAGGTGGAACAGGGTAAGGGGGCAGTGGCCAGCAACTTCACAGAGAGGGTAGAGCCAGCACAAAGAAGTCCGGTCCTGCAGGGTCTCTCCCC